ATCAGGTCAACAACGGTAGTTTTGTTTCTGTTTCTCTCGTCCTCTCAGTTGTGGCTCTGCAAGTTTTGACTTCGGCAACAGAGATTGCCAAGTGCAGTACAATACTACCCTGAACTACCCAGGATGCTGTGAACCACAAGTTGTCTGCAACGATAAATAAGTGTCCTCGGTGTTATGGATAAAAGAGAAGTTGGGGTTGCGGCGTGATGAAGCTAAATATTAAGTTGTAGATGTTAGTGAATTATACGCAACAGAAAACACGCACACATACACACACACACACACACACACACACACACACACACTCACTCACACACACACTCACCCACTCACACACATACACTCACGACGCACGCGAATATAGATCTAATAATTTGTTTATGCTCAGACATTATTCACCTCACACACACAACTCTGATCAAGCTGCATAATATTATGTCTCTACATAACCGTCAACCTTTACAGTATACGTTCTGCCATAACGCGTTTCGTTGGGTCAATTCAACCCACACTGGTGGCGTCGCCTATTTCCAATGTGCTCCACGCCTTATGACTCACTCACTGGTAGGCGTAGGATCGAGGAAGGGGGCCTCGGCTGTGAACACACTGCCATACCGACATTGAAGTGTTCGGGGGCCGTTGAACCGACTAAAGTGACGGTGCACAAGCCACACGCTTCGAGTTGTGCGCTAGATCTAGATCTATGCTCTCATAAACAAACCAACACACACCACACACACAGGCCCTTGTCAGTGAGCACTTACAGTTTTGCCGCACGCTGAGGCGAAGGCAGATCTGAGCAACCGGATAGGCGACGTGTTGTGTGCCAAGATGCAGATCAGATTGTGAGGTTTATCTCCCCTATATTTATTATATTTAATTAATTATAAACCCCTTAAAGCTAGGAACTGATGGTTTTTAAAATTTTAACTCCCAGCTGTCAAGTCCTTTTATGCGACAATGCCTCCGAGTTTTGCATTAGGTCTGTCTCCGATAGTATCGAACAAAGACTAAACAGGTCTTGAAAATGTCCCAACAAAACTCAAGTTTAAAAACGTCTGCTCGGGATTCTAATCAAAGTAATCTGCACCGTGGTTCAGCGCGAGGTCAAAGACACTGTTTACAACTGCGATAACAAGAATAGAAATATTCTTCCGGTAAGTTATGTCAACCCCCCTTCAATATATATATTTTTTAAAAATGATACCCCAACCCTTGAGACCTTCATGCAACAAGTCTAAAACTAAACCAACTCAAGTGTCGCCAAAAGGTTGGCCGTGCCCACATTTAGCCATTCTTTTCAAAGTAAACACAATCCGCGCATTACATTACTTACTCTTCTTTGGTCCATATTAAATACGCGCGCTTCGCCAATTGGCGGAATGCACAACCTCGGCACTTCAGCACAGCATACAACCCAACAATCCTCTCTGCAAAAGACACTGTGCATCATCTTTTAGGCTCTACTTAAGTTTCAAAGTTAAACACCCCTGGCTTCTGAACAAAGCTTACATAACAACGTTTAGGGCATATCTCAGGACCTCCGAACCGATCCATGTCCATTGGTGGAATATCATCCCAATATATGGGTTTTACGCCCCCGTAAAAAAAAACCCCGGTTATAATAAATAAATGAGGTCAGATCTTGGGCTGTTCGTGGAGTTTCCAAGCCTC